TCTTTCTTTTTATTTATCTATTTCATACAGTTTCTATCTATGAGTTTCTTCTTAAACATTCGGAAAACTTAAGGCAAAAAATGTCTTCACCGAGGAATGATAAAAAATTACTCTCTTTTATTCACCGTATTTTTAAGCGGCTATTCAAAGTCATTGCATATATGAGGATGGATCAATATATCCATCATCTAAAAGGTTCGTATTAACTGAATTATATATTAATGATGAAAGTGAACTATGAATTCCCTGTGGTTTAATATACGACCCGGCTTCTTCCGTCTCTCGACCGTTCTTACTAAACTGGTAAAAATCCTAAAACGACTAAATAAATAATAGACGAGTCGATATTAGTAAAGTTTACCTCAAAATCGATATTGTTAAAGTAATTAAAAACATCCAGCTTTCATGTGATTAACGTGAATCACGTGCTGTCTGACCAATGTAGATTTTGTTGAAATAAAACCCGCTTTTCTGATGACACTGTTTGATTGACGCAACATGTTCTTATAAGAGCTTTCCAAATTATCTAAATGTAATCTTTATAGTAATAAAAATATGATCAGATTAAAAAAATGTTTATTGCTTAAAAATTATATACATGATGGTGGACTCTCCCGTCGTATTCGACGTATGAGGATCAAGCAGCTCATTTCCTCGGAACTGACAGCCAGGCACCAGCACATGTGATTTGATTATAGTAATGAAGGTATTGTGCAGGACCATCCACACTTTTTGAAGGGCCGAATAGAGAGACCTGGTGCACTACGTGCCACAAGGCCCCCAAACGACCCTCCGCTGGTTTTGAATTCAGAGTTGTTCTTCTCTTAGACCAGTTGCCAACCAACGCTGTAGAATCTAATCTGTCCTGCTATTTACTGGAGGGAAAAGAAGAGGACCGGAATTCGAATTCGAACTCGGCTCTCCGATTCCGCAATCTGAGCTGCTATCCTCTACTGCACTGTGCTTCCCATGATAAACATATAGTTTTAATGTAGACTATAATTATGGGCAAAATTGCTCAGTATCAGGAATAGAGCGTATGTAAGTACAAAAGTGGACAATGATTTCAACACCGAGGGGCGACAGTCTGTTTCATGATTAAACGCAAGCTTCGGGTCTGAAGATTCCGTTCAAGCAAGAAACAGACTCTCGCCACTTGTTGTTGACCTCAGTGTCCAGTTTTACATTTACATAGACATATATACAGAGTGTTCGGAAAGTTATTATGAACTTTTATAACCCTATTTTTTATATTTCAGATTTCACCGCAATATGGTTTTAACAACTGAAGAACACGTATTTCGAGATTTGATGCGACAGCATTTTGCTAATAAATTTTCAGATACACCAGTTCCACATCGTAATGCAGTTTGTAACCTTATTGATAAACTTCGGGAAACACGATCAAACTTTTGGATATTTATGAGAGTATGCAGAAGAGTCCAAGAAAATCATTACGAAAGATATTGGTCTTGGAACTGCTCATAATGTCGTCAGACAAAAATTAAAACTCTTCCCATACAAAATAATGGCGGTACAAGAAATGAAAGCAACTGATCATGAAAGCAGCGATAACGGTGTTCATTCAGTTTATTTCAAGCGAGCAGTTGATAGCGGTGTTCAGAAATAATATAAGAAGGATGCAAGCCTTGTATTGGTGCTAAAGTGTCTCGTTTTCAACATGGTTTATTTTTTTTCATTCATATTTTCCACCTGGTCCTAAAGTCTTGTCACCACAACCCTCTCTCCCAAATTGTAGGAGGTTATATTATGTAGGGGTGACAATACTTTCGGACCACCCTGTATATTGAAACGTGTATGTTAAGAAAAATATATGCGAACACCATATGCGAATTGAGTCACTGTCGGTCACAGGGCGTGTTTCTAAAAATAAATATGCTAAAAATCCACTTTCATCCCTACCGTCACTAATTCAGTCGGGTTTCGATCCTAGCTAGAGGCAACGGGATGTCTAGCCACACTGATGAGCTGTGAATGACGTTATATTGGCTCCTGAAATATCAATTTCAGTTGAGCTCTCTGGGGACGAGGTGTGGGTTGGTAAACAGTGACTATTATAGCTATATAGCGAGACTCTTCGCAGATGCGAATTGAGTCACTGTCGGTCACTGGGCGTGTTTCGATCCTAGCTAGAGGCAACCGGATGTCTAGCCACACTGATGAGCTGCGAAACAGTCTGTCTGTGGATGACGTTATATATATATATATATATTATAATAATTTTTTAAAAATATGTTTCCATAGCGACACAGAAATTTCAGGTTCGGAACTGTTTTTTAAAAATAAAAAAAATACTAAAGAACTTTGGATTATAAATCTGACTGTTATTTCTTATTACTTGGATATATACATACATATATATATATATATGTGTGTGTGTGTGTGTGTGTGCGTGTGTGTGCGCGTGCGTGTGTGGTACTGAAATTTTGTGGGGGACCAACCAACTTTTCAATATCTGACCAAATGCATTTTTTGTGCGGAAGCGCTCATAGTTTGGCCGAAAATTTTTCACCATTCTCCGGTATATATTTTACATCATTCTCCTGTGAATCAGCAGATATATCACTTAATATAATTAATTGATCTCTTTTCGTTATTTTTATAACCTTTATCTCTGTCCTCCTCTGTTCAATACTTCAAGAACGGCATAAGTATCCATAAGTGATTTTTTTTCCTATTTTTTCTGCATGACAAACACGCATGCGTGGTGTGTTCGTCTGCGTCCCTATACTTCCGCTTCCTCCAGAGGAAGTTACACAGCCCTGTCTATAATGCAGAACAGAATAGAACATCGCATAGAAATCGCTCCTGCTGATAAACCAAACGAGCACCATTGCTGTTTCTGCTGCTGTTGATAACGCTATAAACGTTTATTAGCAACTGATTCCATTTCTTCACTCTTACTCCTTAATGCAGACAATGGCCATTTCACGCTGATTCACTGGCGCGAAGACACAACCATTCAAGTAGCTGTTGCTGCTAGAACAGTAGTACATTATTCATAGTCGATACACAGAGTAATGTTCAATTAGAGTTTCGCGTGTTAGGTTTTGTTTTATTCGTTCCTAGGCAATACGTACTACCTGATTTGTTTTCGATTTATCAATAAACGTTTTGCATACGAACAGAAATCGAGCTAAGTGAATACACGAGAAGAATAAAGACAAGCATGTTTTGTCTCACTAGAATTATTTCGCCTCTACACAATTCCAACAGAACTAGATCTGCCAGGATTGAATATCATAATCCTTCTAGTTAGTGACGTCATATTTTGGATTTGGAATTTGGCATACATACACTGAAACGCATAATAATACCTATACTCTAAAAAGGTTTCTCGCTTTATTCACTAAGCAGTAAGTCAGCAGTTACCGTCCAAAGGTCACTTTAGCTTGCTGACGCTGCCGCAGTTAAACAGTGTAGTGGCCCAAATAACATTGTCGCCACTTTGTAATGACCTCACTGACCATTCTGCGAATGACATAATTTAGCTCTTGAAAATATATTTCAATTGAGCACTGTTGAGAGATAGGCTAATTCTATAAACAACGGCCACTGCATTAATGCAAATCTCTTCAGTAAAATGAATTGGAGCACTCCGGTTGATTAGCGTTTGTTTACATTCGTAAAAACAATACGCTAGATTTAGCTGTTTCTTTCTGTCGAATGAAGATAGCACTGTGGTAAACTCTGACACAAAATCGGTTGGATTTCGATCCTGTCTTGAGGCATTCGGATGTCGCACTGAGGAGCTGTGATACAGCGAAACAATACTGTCTGCAAATGACAATATATATATATATATATATATATATATATATATATATATATATATATATATATATATATGAGGAATCATGGTGGAGTAGTGGATAGCGGCTTGAATTGAGAGCAGAGTTCAAATTCCAGTTGAATCCATTACAATCACTTACATGCTAATACCGCTGGGGAAACCTCTGGCATCTCGTCTACAGTCACTTTCTCACAGACGCGCCGTCGCCTCTCTCTGTCTGTTTTAAAAATACTTTCATGGCAATTGCTCCGAGGAGCTGCATTCGCTAGTTCCCAGACTTCATGAGTTCAAGCGCCCTACGAGGATGGCATCCCGCTCTCATCTCTTCACTGTCGAAACTCCTAAATGTAGCCGTCTCTTCTACTCCAATAGCTTCATAGTTCGCACCTCTCGCCTGTGGAACTCCCTTCCCTATTCCAGTTTCCCTGAGAGCTATAATCTCCAGCTATTCAAGTGTAATGTCAATCAACATCTCCAGTTGCCTTGATCTATCCACTACCCTTCTCGTCATCCTTTTTCTATCACTCCTATCTGATCTTCTGTAACCCCTTGAGTCCTAGTGGCTTCTCGCCTTGCGTGGGGTGAAACGCTTAAAAAAAGGAATTAATCCTCTTCTTCTCCCTCCAGCTATGGGTAAATAGCAAGAGGGATTGGGTTCTATAGCCTTGAATAGCAACTGGTCTAGGAGAAAGAGAACTCTGAATTCAAAACCTGCAGAGGGTCGTTTTGAGTGCACCAGGTCTCTGCATTCGGCCCTTCAGAAAGTGTGAATGGTTCTGTACAAAGCCTTCACTGATATAATCATATGTGATGTTGTCTGGCGGTGGGTTCATAGGAACTGAGCTGCCTGACCCTCATACGTCGAATCCGACGGGAGAGTCCACCATATATATATATATATATATATATATATATATATATATATATAACCTGATGAGCCAGAACCTACTTACCTAGTTAGGTAGGTTATGGCTCATTAGGTTTTATTTTTTTGCTCTACTTAGTGTATTGAATACTTTTACGTTTTTTAACTTAAGTTGCTTTGTCGGCGTTTTTTTCTTTTGGCTGGATATTAAAATGCTGATTAATATTATTTTTTCAAACGGCACAGATGTTTTTAGTCTTTTCATTTAATTAAAATAATATATATATATATATATATATATATATATATATATATATATAT